GCTGCGGATTTGTCGTAGTATTGTCGAACCATGACTGTCAGTCGTTATTTGTTGTGTGTGCAGCTGATCGAATCGTCCACCTTACACTCAGACTTGAGGTGGCGGGTTTAAGATTACTGGGAAAGGACTGGGTGCTCTTTCAAGACTGGTTTGCCAGCATTGACCCAAAGTTTCCATTAGGACCTGGCCATGTGGCCTTCCTCTGTCTGTTTTAAGGCACACAAGCTGGGCCGGAGCCAGTAGGCGGAGGTAAGATGGACAACCAGCCATTGCCCGCATCTGCCCCAACTAAGACTTTATTCCAACACCTCACCAAAAAAAACCCCCTCTTTTCAAATGGGCAGCCATTTCTTCTTCTTTGTCACTCTGAGGCTGCTTTTACCAATATTTTCTCACCAAAAGTGGAAAAGGAGGAATATCACAAAATGTGTCAAGAACATGTCCGGGTCATATTTAATCTCAAAATCATAAGAGAGAAATGAGAAATTATTGATGTCTAATATTTAGTCCAATAGCACGAAAAAACTAATAAATTATTCTGAACACTGAATAAAAAGTAATTTTGTAGGCAAATGTGCTAAATGCTGTCATGAAAGTAAGAAATAAATAATTATTAGTGATTTTATTAATTTGTTTGACTGAAAAAATAAATTTTGGAGTTAAATGTGCTAAATTGTCATAGCAATTAATAAAAATATAACAATTCACAATAAAACAGAATTTTGGGAATACAATTCTAAATTGTTATAGAAGAATTAATAATCATTAACAATTTTATTATGAACTGAATTAAAATAATTCATTTTAAAAAGAATTGTGGACAGGAATGTGCTCACCTGTCATGACATAATAAAAATTGAATACATAATTGAATACAAAAAAAATCTGGTTGTAAAAATACTAAATTGTCATGAAAATAAGAATGAATAATTAGTAACAATTTTATAATTAATTTAATGAAAATAATTCATATTAAAAATAATTTTTGAGGTAAATGTGCTAAATTGTCCAGACATAAACATTTAATAGATAATTCAAAATAAACTAAATTTTGGGAGTAAAAATGCTTAATTGTTATGGAAATGGGAATTAATCATTATTAACAATTACCAAATTAATGCAACTATAAAACCTTAATAAAAATATTTTCTTATTTTTTGATTTGTGGGATGCATTGTGACCTGGAAATGTATTTACTAAGATTCGCCCTCAAAAACTCACAACACACTTTTTTCTATTTATTAGTGTAGATTTTTCAGCTCGGTTGGAACATTTTGGCAGTTTGTTCATCAACAAATGTGAATACGAATATAGCGCAGTCTCAAAGCCAGTGTGAAGAAATACCGCCTCCGTCAACACAAGACCAAAGCCTGCAGAGAACAAAAAAGAGAGAAAAAAACAACAACTTTAACTATCAGTATTAATAATTTGTGATGCCACAGTCATGTGAGTCTTGCCTTATTTCATTTCCATGCTAGCTAACCGTGCTGATGTGAATTACGATATGTAAAATAAAAAGTACATATATATATAACGTATTAATGTTATACAATTGAAAAGAAATGAGGTGTTTACATTCATGTGGTCATGTGGGAGATAACTGTGATGCGTTCAATTGCAAAGCAATTATTTCATATAAAACTAAACAAAATGTTCAGAAAATATTATATTCCTCGTTTGCTTTCTTAGGTGTGTAGTTTTCATCTTTCTTAACCAGTACTTAATTATGTCGTGAGACACTAAATCAGAGAGGAATCTCACTTAATACTGAGTTTCGAAATGTTTTTTTTTTTTTTTTATTGTGCTGGCTTATTTCTGTGGACATCTGTTTTTACGTTCTACGTTTGAATTGTACGTCACTGGTTAAGCTTAATTTATTGTTTTGGTTTCATCCATGTGTTCCTGCACAGTGGGGTGGGGTCATGACTAAATGTATTTGTTTACTGTAGCACGTTTTTAAAAATGTAGATACGAGATGCAGTTACGGCGCTAAATGGTGATTGAGTGATTCACATTAAATAACCATCAGTCCTGCCACTGTAAAATATCAAGAGCTGTACTGAAGTGATCCGGTGTGACTGACTGGTGCATCTTTTCTATCGTGAGATTTCACTGAATGTTTTCATGATAGCGTCTGTGTTCTATACCAAAGCGTCTGTCCTTCACTTGTACTTACCTGTTTGCTTCACAATGAACGGATGAGAGCTTTGATGATTGGGGACTGCCGTTGATTTTCCTGAACACTTCATTTGACTGTATTTTATAAAATTAGTGTTCATGTCAACACGAAATCAAAATTGATCCAATTTGCTTCCATATCTATCAGCTGGTGTCACCTAGAGCAGAAAATAGCCAATATTATTCAATTACAAACAAAAGAAAACAAAAGCAGAGGAAATGAAAGCAAAACTAAACAAAAGCAGAGGAAATGAAAGCAAAACTAAACAAAAGCAGAGGCACAGAAAGAAAAACTAAACAAAAAGCAAACAAAACAAAAGCAGAGGAACAAAGGAAAACGAAACAAAAACAAAGCAAACAAAACAAAAGCAGAGGAACAGAAAGGAAAATGAAACAAAAACAAAGCAAACAAAACAAAAGCAGAGGAACAGAAAGAAAAACAAAACAAAGCAAAGCAAACAAAAACTAAAGCAGAGGCACAGAAAGGAAAATAAAACAAAGCAAACAAAACAAAAGCAGAGGAACAGAAATGAAAACGAAACAAAAACAAAACAAAGCAAACAAAACAAAAGCAGAGGAACAGAAAGGAAAATGAAACAAAGCAAACAAAACAAAAGCAGAGGAACAGAAAAAAACGAAACAAAAACAAAGCAAACAAAACAAAAGCAGAGGAACAGAAAGAAAAACGAAACAAAAACAAAACAACGCAAACAAAACAAAAGCAGAGGCACAGAAAAGAAATCGAAACAAAAGCAAAGAGAAGCAAAACTAAATGAAAGCAGAAAAAGTGAAAGCAAAACAAAACAAGCTAATGGAAGGAAAAATAAATAAAACAGAGGAAAGGAAAACAGAAAACATAAAGCCAAACAAAACAAAAGCAGAGAAAGGGAAAGCAGAACAAAGAAAAACAAAACAAAAGCAAGGGGAAGGAATACAAAACCAAGTCAAACAAAAGCAGTAAATGAATCAAAATTAATATTATAAACTGTACTGTAATAAATTGCAAATGATGATAAGTTTTTTTGTTGTTTTTTTAAGAAACCTTAACATTACTGACGACAAACTTGGCCTTCAGCCTTCATTTTCCTATGAAAAATCTCCTCAAAAGTATGTGCTTGTGTTTCAGAAGGAGTAATTTCCCAAAATCCACTGCAAACTCACATTCAGCTCTATTTTGACATGTAACGGCCACTACTCATTACCAAAAAGTATTGCCACAATTTTTTCTGATGAAATTAACTGCTTTATGTGGAAATGTCAAAATATGGAAGTAAATTGGGTCACAAGTATCATTTCGTGTTGACTGTAAAAGGTCAAAAAGTATCGTCCACGCAGTAAAAAATGTTAAGGTGCCTGTTGTATCACACCTGAAATGAAATGTGTTGATTTAAAAAGCAGTGAAAATAGCCACCATGGTGACTTCTCCCAATCATCAGACCATTTTTTTTTAACAAACATGATGTTACACACCTTATCAATGTAAATGATTTACATTGACAAAAATGTTGTAGAAAGTATTTTGTAGGAGCACAACTGCTTTAATCAACATTTGCTGCATGGCATCTACGCCCCCATTTGTACATAAGACCACTTCTTTATTGATTCTAGGGAAATTGGTTTGTATTTGCTTCGTTTTGTGACTCTACTGTGTTGTGTGTTGATCAGACCGACAATCTTAAGAAATCCAGTGCCCCTCGTTCCCATTTTGTTCCCCACCACCGGAAGTCCTGCAGCTGCTTTGGATGTGTGCTTACCCTCCTGAATGTTTGGATTGGGATTCTCTTGTTTGTGCGCTGGAAGCCGCAGTCAGACCCGCATCTCTGATGTCACCTCTTGCCATAAAGAGTTTCCATACAAGCTCTTGGAATCTTTCCATCATATTTTAATAAATGACTATTATGCCAAAAGTTGTTGTTTTATTTCTATTTCTGGCATCGATGATCATCAAGTTTCACCCTACTAATCATACAAACATGAACACTTGATACAAATTCAAGAATAGGAAAATGGCTTCAGATTTCAAGAACTCGTGCCTAATCCTGTTACACTCGCATATATAGTGTGAAGACAAACTAAAAAGTATTCAACTGCCTATTATTTACAGCAAAGATTAATTATAGCTTATTAAAGATGAAACATGTACAAAATAGAGTAAATCTTCAATAAGACATTCATAATAGTAAGACTGTTTGTCACAAATGAACATTATTGTAGTTTACGCCAAGATAAATGACAAAATATGTAGAAACATTAAAGGGACAGTTCACCTAAAAATGACAATTCTGTCATCATTTACTCACCTTCAAGTTGAAACCAAAAAGATATTTTGAAGAGTGTTGGTAATCAAACAAGCATTTTTGTCCATACTATGGAAGTCAATGGCTACCGTCAACTGTTTGGTTACCAACATTCTTCAAATGATCTTATTTTGTGTTCAACAGAAGAACGAAACTCAAACAGGCTAATGGAAGCAAAACAAAAGCAGAGGAAAGGAAAACAAAAAGCAAAGCAAAAGCAAATTGAAGCAAAACTAAATAAAATGCAAAATAAAAAGCAAATTGGAGCAAAACAAAAAGTAGAATAAATCAAAACAATACAAAATAAAAAAGAAACAAAACAAAAGCAGAGGAACAGAAAGGAAAACGAAACAAAAACAAACCAAAGCAAACAAGAAAAAAAAAGCAAAGAGAAGCAGAACTAAATAAAAGAAAAAGTTGAGGGTTAATAAATGCTGACAGAATTTTAATTTTTGGGTGAACTATCCCTTTAAGGACATCATTTACACACTATCTGCACTTTACCAAAACACAAGACGTGAAGAATTGTTTCAATGAAGACACAGGTCGCTGTTCTGCTGAGGAGGTGAATATTGGGATGTCAGTTCGGCCTCCATGGGTACGTTCAGACTGCATTCGTTTGGAAGTCTGTCTTTAGGTTTTCTCAGGTTCTCCTGAAAGATTGAGAAATAAGAATTAATACAGAGAAAATAACACATTCTAGCATACTTTTCACACCCAAAAATTGCAATTTAGCACACTTTTATGTTATACTTTTCACAAAAATAATATTCTAAATGCAAAGAAAATTATGTTTTGGACACTTTGCATGTTAATTGCAATTTATTGCGTTTCAATTCATATTAAATGCAGCTGTTTGAACTTAAAAGTGCTCTTTTGCATATCAGAACAGATCTTTGACCTGTAAACAATTCCTAAATGTGGCCAAGCATATACTAACATTTCATAGAATATCAACATTATGATTTCCACAGTGATATATAAATATTTGTAAACCAAAAATTCATTATTCTCAATCACACAAGCACAAAACCGTATTTTCAAATGATAGCAAAATTGATTGAGCTGCACACCAAATTCTTCACAGGCACAGATCTGAGCTGTTTTAAATCTAAAATAGAAAGCATATACTCTGGCAAGAGCCCTAAACCAACACAACCGCACGATTTACTGAAGCCCTTCATTTTGAGAGCCGTCCTGCTGAGCGACTGTGAGAACAGACTGCAGCACTGACAGATTCATTCAGACCGCTCGAATCCATCAATACGGTAGTCAGTCAAAAACAACAAGAGATTACGATTGGATTATTTCACCACAACCATGAGGAAATATAACCTAGAAGTAAAATGCAAATGGAATGAATTCAGTTACTTAAAGGGACCTTAAAGGAGTGATTGATTGCGATTTCACTTTTTTAACATTATTTAGTGTGTAATGTTGCTGTTTGAGCATAAACAATATCTGCAAAGTTACGAAGCTGAAAGTTCAATGCAAACAGAGATATCGTCTTTTAAAATTCTGGCAGTTTAATGCCTACAAAAATGGCTGGTAGGGACTACAACAAGTTACTTCCGGGGTTCATGACATCACAATCCCAGATAAACCCCACCCTCGGGAAAAGGCGGCAACGGGGGCGGGGCCATGCTGCGCTGCTTTAGAGAAGAGGAAGAGAAAACGTCTAGCTCTCTCTCTCTCTCTCTCATTCAGCTCAGCTCCAGCAATGAACTGTTACAATTATACTCTTATTTTCACACAGCTATGAGAAGCGTTAAACATGGACGTGTGTGCAGTTGCCGTACTGTATTAAAGCTTCAATCAGGACAAAACTGTATATTAACAGCTAACATATGCAGTAGGGACGTTTAGACACGCACTAGAGGCAGTTTAGCCAATCACAACATACTGGGCAAGCTAACCAATCAGAGCCCATCGCCTATTTCTGAGGGAGGGGCTTCATAAAAGAAGGAAATGATCAGCGCGTTTCTCAGAGAAGGGACAGAGCGGTGTGGAATAAAGGTAAATGGTGTGAAAAATAATGCGTTTTTTTTTTTTTTTCAAACTAAGCATTAACACATGTTAGACTGCACCCCATAAACACAATCAAGCCTAGAATAAAACCAGTGAACCACCCCTTTAAAGAGAACTTAGAACAGAAATACAACTTTAAAAGAATATTCAGAATGTGAACTGAATGTAAAGTTTTTGAACATTTAATCGCATGCAAATGTATTATAGTTATTTATAAAAATCTAAAATTTTGTCATTTCTAAAAATTATTTCTTAAAAATCGAACTTATATTGTGTATTTAAATATATGTACAATTACACATTTGTAACAATGAAGCTGCAATTTAGCATATTTAATATATATATATATATATATATATATATATATATAGAACACCTTTAAATTTAGTATCAAATAAAAGACTATAGTTAAAATACTTTACATGTGCTTTAGTATGCTAGTCAACACATCAAAATAAGTGCATTTTTTAAAAATATGATAAAAGATTAAATTCAAAATTAGATTAAAGATTAGAAATTTAAATTAGATTTAAAATGTACTTTAAAGTAAATCTTAATTTGACATTATTACAAAATGCACTTTTTAACAGTGTACTGAAGTGTGTTATGAAAAATGTTTGTTTTATTATTGTTATATTATTTGTGTGTGTGTGTGTGATTTTTTTTTTCCTTTTTGGGTGTATTATCCTTTTAGGGTTAACGTATTAAAAACGTTTTCGTCAACTGAAATAAAGCTAAATAAAACAAAATATAAATATTAGATGAAAAACTTAAGCTAAACAATAATTAGAAATGTTGCCTTGGCAACATTAAAACACAAATTATAAAGAAATGACTAAAAATGCTAAATAAAATAAATTAACCCTAATCTGTAAAATAAGCACATAACAAAATAACTAAATAATATTTATAATAATTTAAATAACTAAAATAAAAAATGAAAAGAAAAGTAAAAGCTAATTCAAAATATGAATACAAACTTATATATATACAGTGGGGCAAAAAAGTATTTAGTCAGCCACCAATTGTGCAAGTTCTCCCACTTAAAAAGATGAGAATATATATATATATATATATATATATACACTAAATATATAAATAATACTAAAATGATGCTGATAAAGTAAGTGAATGACAGTAAATAACAACTTAAGTTTCGGTCTATTTCCAATCATATGATTTCATACAGATTTAAAATATTGTGCATGAGACATATGAACCACTGTCATAGTGCTTTATTATATACACACACACACACTTTTAAGATTTTTTAAAGAATTTAAAATTTTTGGGTACATTATCCATTTAAGTGTGTCACCTACAAACAATAATTATAATATTCATTAACATATCATTAATTATGCATCCCAGCTAACAACTCCATGTACATATTATTCAATAAAATCAGCCCTGCGTCTTCTACACAAACAGTAACCGTCTATAAATAATCAGCGCACATCAATAGACATCAGGCCACGGTTATTTGTAGCGAGAAACTTTTAGCTCAGCTTAAAATACTGCTCGGAGGCCTTGACCCAAACTTCCCAACTTCTGAAATGGACGAATTAATAGATGCATATTAAATAGGAGCAGTTGGATTGTTATGCTAAACCTCACCTCAACATGCAAAACAAATGTGGTGGGTTTGAAACGGAACACAGCGAAGGCCACCGTCCTTTCATTTAAATGCATGTATTATACATAAGTTTATATATAAAAAAGAAGGACCACAAAAGCACTAATGTGTATTTTTTTATCCTTATTAGTCATGAGGAGAAAGAAAGATAAAAAAAACTCTTTAAGCACCTGGACCTCGCTCTCAGCATTCCATTAATTACCCAGACAATGGCAACAACTTCAGAGGCAGATTTTTCAATTTCAGAAAGAAAAAGAGGCAGACAGACAGAGAGAGAGAGAGAGAGGAGAGAGGAGAGGGGGAACGAGACAGATGGAGGGAGATGGAGAGAGAGAAATGCATGTATTCAGGCTCTTCATGCTATACCAGCACTTAAATCCGACGGACCTCCCATAAAAAAGACTCAAGGTTACGTTCGATTGAAAATCCTCACAAACAACCACTTCAGAAATCCATTTAGAGCCAGTGCTGGAACATCTCATTCAAACATGTTGTCCTGTTAAAATGGTCGCGTAGCTCTTCTAAAACTCTTTCTCCGCCGCTGCTGTTTGCCGGGCCTCTTTGTAAAAGCGATTAAATTTCCACATTCTGAAGCACAAAGACATAATTACACAGGATCAGAAATGCAGCCCAAACAGAAGGTCAGACATGAAAAATGACCTCTTATTGTCACAAATGATAGGCCGTTTTGCCAAGAGTAATTTGTAACAATACCTCAGCTCGCAGTTCGTTGGAACGGCCAATGGAACACGGCCCAGATATTTCAAAAAAATTGTGTTTTGTGAGTAATGAGAGTTCAATGGAGTGTATAGAGACTAAAAAGCTCAAATGATGAAAAATAGGAAGCTCACTTATTTCTTTATTAGTTTTAATTCTGTTACAATTTACTCACCCTCATGTCAGTCTACATGTAAACCCGTTTGACTTGCTTTCTTCTGTGGAACACAAAAGGAGATGTTTTGAAGAATGTCACCGATGCTCTATTTCAGTTAAGAAAAATATGGTTTCGAAACACATAGGAAACGTCAAACCTGGCATCAAGTTTTAATTTGCACCAGGGTTATTATTAAGTCAAGTATTAAAACATTTTCATCCCGAGTTCGAATCCCAACTCGAGAACCTTTCCCGATGCCATCCCCTTTCTCTCTCCCACTTCGCTTGCTGTCAGCTGTGATCTGTCCAATCATAATGTATAGGCAAAAACACCTCAAATAAATCTTTAAAAAACTAAACATTTTCATTAATTGAAATTTAGCAAAATATAATATTAGATAAAATAAACATAAGCTAAACAATAATTCGAAATGTTGGAAACGCTAAAACACTAAAATTATAAATAAATTACTAAAAATTAAATAAACTAACACGAATCGGTTAAATAAACACATAACAACATTGCTAAAAATTAAACAAATTAAAATGAAAAATTGAAAAATAAAAGCTAATTCAAAATATTCCTAAAAACATATATAAAGTAATTATATACTAAATAATACTAAAATTATGGTGAAAGACAGTAACCAAATTAAGTTTTGGTCTATTTCCTGTCATGATTGCATATGGATTTAAAATATTGTGCATGAGACATATGGACCACTTTCATAGCGCTTTTTTGTCTCCATTTACTTTTGTCATTTATTTATTTGTCATTTTATAAGATTTACATCCCCTGCTGTATTTTATTGTATGAAAAAGAGCAGCGTGAACATTCTGCTAAACATCTGCTTTTGTGTTTTACGCAAAAATGAAAGTCATACAGATTTGAAAAGTATCTGGACTTTGAACTGAAATAAGATTTTTAGATTTAAGTTATTTTATTACAACCCAGTTACTTATTTAAAACATACTGTACTGTCATTTAGCCATAAGTAAATATGGTTAAATATTTGAGGCTAGTAAGTATGAACAGAACCCCATAGTTACATACCTCTCTAAGCAGACTTTCACCAAAACACCTTTACAAAGATAACTACCGTTCTTTTAAATTAC